TTCATTTGTTTTTCTATGCCATCTAGTTGCAGCACACCGCCGATTGCCTTTTGCAGGTAAAAAGCATACTTATAATGATGGAGCAGCTGAGCTATTTCAAACATATATTACAACATTTTTTTTTTAATTGTACGACTTACGTTAAAAAGTCATCATATACATCACATGATCACCCATCATGTTGACATATTTTTTGTAAGAATGCTTCCAGCTTGTTTTTAAATTAGTTGAAATGTAAACAAAAATTGACTTTTAATAGATTATAGCAAAACATTCAAAGTTCAAACACGTAATGCCTATTCGCTTAGAACACGCTCGCTGTTACTGCACTTGGACTAGACCACTGCACATTATTTGAAATGATTCAGAAACTTTGACCAACTTCGCAGACGAAACATGTCATGTGGATGGAAAGAGCAGGTTTTCATGAAATTGTTTATTATCATGCAAGGTAATGAAAATGAACAGGAATGTGAGGTTGGCTGTTCTCCGTTCGATGTCCTTCGGAACCTCTCCTTCGATGATTGCACCTAAATTGCATAAGAGACACTAACAAAACAGAACTTTAAAGTAAATGATCTTTATTTGCACATTCATGTTTTAGTTGAGAGTGATATTCCCATACAATCTGCAGACAAGCTATATCATTCACACGTACCTTAGTCACATCGTTGTTGGTTATTTTTGTTGGATTTCTAAAATTACACCTCAGTGGTGGGGCCGCCTGTGGCTTTTCATGTGACAAGAGTATTTTTATATCTCTCCTGCCTTCGCTGATATTCCACTCGGACTGTGGAGTCCAGTTTCCTCTCCTCCCAAAAAATGCCATCTAAAATCCCATTCGACTGCTGATAGTGCTGGGTATTCACCCGATGGGAACTTTCTGATTGTCCCTCGCCAAGTCTTGAATTGAAGCTCAGAACAGAGTAAAACAAGTTAGCTTTCAACTATAGTAACATTTTAACTTATGGAAAAGCTCTTTGTTTTTGAAGGATAGAAGCTTCAAAGGATGTTAGTATGATGAAACACTTTGTATTAATCCTTTACGCCTTAATAAGCTCTACACGACTGTGCCAAGTAGCAATCGGAAGGTAAGACAGTATTTTGACAATCCTTGATCACCTTAGGCAGATGAAAAGTTTAAAGTTGAACTAAAGTAAACAACGTTTTAATACAGGGACAGCCAATCCTCCGATTTCAACTGAACTCCCTGAGCTCCGTGAACTAACTAACGGCGGAGTAACATTTCGAATAAAGCAACTCAGTTTGATGCTGTCGTTCAGTTCCAGTGTTATTTAGGGAAAGGTGCACTAACAAAGCTATAACATAAAACAAAAGATATAAAATGGAGGGATGAATTAAAATTTAACTCCTTACATGTAACCCCTGAGGGTGAATAGCATCTTGTTTCTCACTAATGCAGCACTGCTGAATCAAACTTAAGGAAATGCAAGCTTGAAAACAGTACCTGATTTTTAACCAAAATCTTCTTTGTCAGCGCCATAGAAATTACAAATCCATGAGATATAAGACTGTCTGCTATTCTTTTAGACCCTACTCTAGTAGACCCATTTCGAGGACCCGTGATTTTTTTCCCCCTTTTTTCCCTTTTTTTTTGTTACAGTGAATGTCGATTCGTTTACAGAGTTAAAACGTCCTGACACCCACCATAGACATTCAATGAAATAAATTTGCCCATCACGACTAACTATAAAATCTTCTTTCCAGGATACACGAGCCAAAGGGAAAGGAAATATCACAGCTGCTGACCAAGCTTCTGGATTGCTCCCGATATGATGGCCGACTTCGACCAAATTACGGCGGTAAGATCCTAAGGTCTAACGGGCCAGTTGTTATATATCGCCGGAGGGGGTGGGGGAGTAGGAAGAACACATGGTTTTCAGTTTTTCAATGGGAACCGAGGGTGGTCAATCACCGCCAAAAGATTTAAAGAGTGAACTATAGAAAATTTACCGCTGCCAGTGAGGTGGTGGGGAGTTCATAACAGTATTACAGAGCTACATGAGAGGATCAGGTACTAAGTTCTGATTGCAATTGAGCGTCAATATTGCGCAAGCTTAATCAGCCGAACTCGTGATTGACTTTAGGGTCAACTTTGTTCTTCGTATTTTCGGCTCATCAGTGCTCTGGATTTTCTACTCCATATCGAGCCGCTGATATTTTGAAGAGGTCATTTAATAAAATTGGAGAGTTACACCGGTGGGCTAAAAAGAAAGAAAATTAGAGACAATCCATAGAACAGCATCTTTAAACATCTCTTACCTTTTTATCTTCTTAGCATCCTATCGGGTTCCCAAAATGAGCGACCTAATATATTTACCTCTCTTCAAGAAGTTATGAAAAAATATGCTGATATTTGTGTCTCTGCAGAAGGTCCAGTTGAAGTCTCGGTAGGGTTTTGGATTTTGTCTATTGAAAGAATTGATGTTGTCAACATGGTACGTAATTACATTGAAAAGAAGTTTTTAGTTTGATAGATAAACAGAAGCCTTTATTAGGTGCAAAAATATGCACGGGTTTTCGTCCGCGGATATTATCTGTTCCGAGATACGAACAGTATTCCAAGAGCGAAGCTTGAGGAGAACTGTGAGCTTCGAGGAACAGATAATGTCTAAGGACAAATATACGAGCATATTTTCGGGCAAAACAGAGGCTATTGTTTTAATAATCCTTCAAAAATTTTGCAACGTGCGTGAAGAAATGTTAACGAACAGCTTATTGTTTGTTGTGTGGGATGTGTTCTTTCGACTGTTCTCTGGTATGACTTTATGAACAAAACAAATGATTCCCTTCTTCTGTAACAACCATAGAATGCTCTCTCATCTTGGATAAAATTTTAAAGGAAGACTAATCGGAGTGAAAGTAAGGTTTGAAAATTAAGGATTTTCACGTGGGTGATATCTTCAGGTATCCCCCAGTATTGGGTGGAATATTTGGTCATGTGATGCGTCTAAACCAGTAGCGGATGAGCATTTAATGTACCATCGTCAAAGGTATTCTCTGGCATTCTATTAGCAAATCCACTTACTAAATGAATCAGGCAGTAATTAACAAGGAAAAAAAACATGAAATATCTTCATTCATAAAAGAGTATTAGGCCACTGCTGGGCAGCGGTCTACTTTCCCAACCTCAACCTATGGGGTTGGCTTGCATCTTTTACTGACTCCACAGACTAAAGGCGTTAAATCCACTTACACGTATCGATGCTAATAGAAAATAAGGTCGCTAATTATAGCTGGCATGCGGATATCGACAGTTATATTCACCGACCTTCCGTTCCCACTCTTTCTCCCGTCAGGATTTCACAATCGACATATTTCTTCGACAACAATGGACCGACAAGAGACTGGATCACGGTTTGAATCATACCATCACACTCAGCAGCCGCTGGGCCATGAAAAAGATCTGGGTTCCAGACTCCTATTTTGTGAACGCGAAAACAGGCCGCATGCATCGAGTAACCACTCCTAATATGATGCTTATGTTAGGTCCTGGAGGAGTGATAAAATACAACGCAAGGTACTTTAGTCAAATTAGTCTGTTTATGGAGCTGTTGTGCTAATTAAATGACTGGAACAAGATTGCATTGAATAAAGAAAGAAGGTTATACTTGAGCTCTGTTTTAGTCGAAAAATCACGGTTAGGGACTAAATTACGGGCGTCAAGAAGCGATAGTTTTTAGTCTGTTGTGTGGACTCGAATCTCAAAACTTGAGACTTCCAAGTCTGGATCTGATGGTAGAGCATCAGAACGCGAATAAGAAGTCTTATACTAATCTTTCGAGAGACCTGGATTTATTTTCCCTTCGAAATATTGAAGGTTGATAATTTCTCATTTTAAATAGGACAACAATCAAAGCAGCATGTCTCATTGATTTACGAAAGTTCCCTATGGACAGTCAAGTTTGCCCGCTAGTGCTGGAAAGCTGTAAGTTAAGTTTGTTTTAGTTATACTTAGACCGTGACAGACAGGAGAATTAACTTTTTGAGCAACTGACCATGGCATTGAACGATTGCTTGCAAATTTGTAAACTAGTTACCAACTTTAATTTGCGACTGACTGACCGACTGATTGACTGACAGATCATGAAGGGCTTCTGTGTTGACTAAGATACTGATTAACAATTTGACAGACTGATTGATTGACTGATTGACTTACTCGCTGACTTACTTACCAATAAGCTAACTTCAACTAACTTGCTTATTATAGGTGCCTGACTGGCTAACTTGCTGGTTGACCAACCGACTAAGAAACCGTCTGACAGACATACTTACGAACCCACTGAACAACTGACTCACACTCTTCTGCCTTTTGACTTTTTAGTTACCTGTTTACTGACAGACACGCTTACGGAAGGAGAAAGAGAAAGAGACATTTAAATATAGGTAGATCGATAGAAAGAACGCAAACGAAGGAATATACAGAGATAGACGTACAGGAATCGAGATAATCAAAAGAATAAAATTTTTCCTTTGAAGATCCGTTGGTGTTCTTTTTATTTTCAAAGATGGCTATAGTGCAGAACATATTCGATATAAATGGGAAGTCTCTGGAACAGACGGCCACTCTTTCGTTCCATCTGAAGTGCGCCTTATGCCGAACTATGAACTGACAAACATAAACCTCTCGCTTACCATGAACATATATGTTGTTGGTGAGTGGCAGTGTTTTTCTAATTGTCCTTTAGCATTTAAAAACAGAACTTTTAGATTTTGTGGATTTTCTTTAGTTGTCGTAATTACCTAAGGAAAACACAATAATTTATGTGAAAAAAAATTTACCACATTAGCGGAGAATGTGCTTCAGATTTGACCGATCATTTCTTGGAAGATAAGGAGGATGTTCTGTCCTCAATAAGCCATATAGTTGGGGACCGTCCTAAAGGATAAGGGTTTTGAACTATTTTGGTCTGAATGATTTTGAGCAGTACATCAGGGTCTTTAATCTGGCGTGGTTTTGGAGGAAACCACAAGAGGGTGTAAATCGGATTGTCTTTTTTAACACCAATTGGATCAAAGGAAAAAGAGAGCGTTAATATATCATACAAGTTGTATCTCTGGGTGAATTTTGCTAACTCTCCCTAGTGCGAACGTTAACTTACGCTTCAAAACCAAAGCCAAGCTCGAAACGGGTAAGGAATTTTATGGGAACGGGTAAGAGGGCTAGGACGGTTTTTGAAAATGAAACGTTTTAACTTTTTTGGTCTCAAATAGAATCAATTCTGAAAAAACCCGGCTGCTCTTGTACACCCCTTAAGAATTCCAAAGGGGTAGCTGCCCCAAATCAGAATTCGAAACACCCGCTGGGACCATACTAAGAGCACTAAAAACGACATTGCAATGTTCTTCTTGTCTTTGTTTCCAGGCAATTTTTCGGGTGTTTGTGCGACATTTACCTTCAAACGTTCCTACAGTTACTTTTTAAGTCACATGTATGGCACTAGCTCAGTGATTGTGGCTATATCTTGGATTGGGTTTGTTGTTCCTTTTGAGCAAACCGCTGCCCGCATCGCTCTTGGCATTACTTCGCTATTGACGGAGGTTACCATTTTGAACATGATGAACAACTCTATGCCAAAGGTACATGTCTGTTAAATCAGTGAATTAGCACGTAGGACAATTGCCATTAAAGTATTTAAATTAATCAGAGGATTGCCATGTTGGAGTAGTTTGTTTGTTTCTCTTGTTACAGGTGAGTTATGTTAAATCAAGCGACAAGTTTCTGATTGGTTGTTTTGTGTTCGTGTTTTTGACCCTCATCGAGTACTGTGTCGTGCTTTTGTTGAAAGCAAAGCAAAAGCAGAGGAGTATCAAGGCCCGTAAAAGTGCAGGAAAACAGGTAAGAAAACTAGATAAATAAATAAATAAAAAATAGACTATCAAGTAAAGCAGAAGTTCACGCAAGTTTTCCACAGGACACTTTTTTGCCTCATATCTGAGTAATAACAGCAACTAAAACAACAGAAGACATTAGATTGTGAAACAGAAAAATTGGTAGCCTTGCAACCAATGTAGATAAAAACAAACATCAATTTTTGCATTTTTAGCGTGGTCACATACTACATTTCTTAGCAGGAAAAGGATGAGAAATGTGACCATATGGAACCGAAGGACTGGATAAGGAATGGCACTTTAATCAACACAGAGGAGTGTGACATCAAATTTCCTCATGGTAGTTCGAGGAAAGCTACAAGCGAATACTCTTCGAGGTGCACCTCAGCTACCTTCAGACATACTGATGTTGGCGCTCTCCTTCCCTGGGAGAAATCGCAGATGCACTGCAAAACATTTATAGAACAAGTCGAAGCAAGGATTCTTACAGATGCGTTTATATTGAGCATAGACGAGTATTCCTTCAGAGTTTTTCCTCTTGCTTTTGCTGTGTATAATGCTTGCTACTGGATGGATTATCTTTAATGAATTGGATACTTTTAATTATAAGCATGCTTATACAAAAGAGCCAATGAATAAACTGTATCGACGAGGAACTCAACCGAAGGGTCCGGCGAAACTGACCAATTACATTTGACAAACGCCACTTACGTCTTTATTCAAGAACCAGGTTCGAAGTATTCGTTGAACTGATAACTCTCCTATAAATCCTTATGATCGATTTCTTTCAGGTTTTCGAAGCTAGTTACTGGGTCTCACTCCGAGGAGTTACATAGTGAATAAATAAATAAATACTGTCGATAAACAGCATTGAGTTCAATGGTAGTAGTAACGAAAGCAACATTTTAGAACTCGTTAAGAACCTCTTGAGTAGTCCACATAATGTAATGTAATGTAATAAAGGATTTCCAGGTCCATGGAGCTTTGCAACACTCTACGGTGGAATTTGGCCAGAAGCAAAAAAAGGAACGCTTAAGTATGTTACACCTATTGCTTTCCCATCTTCAACGTCTTTGGCAAAGAACATTTGACGAGCTTGCTTTCTTTTGCGCTTTTCATGAGCAAAGTTCATTTTCCTCTAGTCGGGGCACTGATTCCGCCTTTCATGGTTTCCTACGCTCGCTTGAGTTTTCAAAGATTTTCTAGAATACAGAAGCAAGTCTGGGAAAAAAAACCTTATCACGTTTCTAAGTTCACCATAAGGTGTCTTTGGGCAAAATATGGAGGTTTTCAATTTTTCGACCATATGCCACATATTTCGATTTTCACTCAGTTCATTCGCACATTCTCTTTTAAATGCCCCACTAAATTACTTTGTTAGTAAATTTATGATGTTGTACTGGCGTTGTATCTACATGTTATGTGATCTCTTTGCTTGACCCTGCAATTGTTTGAGCTCCTTCGAAAATACTCGTCCACTGGGGGTTTCTTTCAAAATCTCCCCTGTCGATGCAATAATTATACATTCTCAAGTCACTGATTAGCTAAACTAATTAGATTACTGATGCCTCGATAACGCATGTCATAACCTCCTTAATAAGAACAACTAAAGAAAAACACTTTCAACAAATCTGTAAAACGTTCCGAGTGACTTGTACTACGTAAGTGCAACTGAATATGCCTCTTCTACTAACAGATCTCATCAAAAAAAGAAATGAGTTCCCTGTTGTTCAGGAACACAAATAACACAGCAGCCAGTCTCGAGAGAGCTGAAAGTACAAGAGAAGGTCCGCAAAGGGGGCCCTAATGTTGTCACACTTTTAATTTCGTATGCACCCCGATTGAGTACTTTGTGGCGAAAGTAACTCAATCTGTTAAACTAAGCGACGACGCTAAAAGATTCTTAACTAAGTAATGGAAGGTATCCTTACTCAACAAAGGCGCCATGTGCTGAGTTATGCATGGGTAAGCTAACAGAATTCATGTTTGTAATTCTATAGCGCATGCATTCGATGTATTATATAATTTAATCACGACTTAACTGTGTTGATTTTGTGACGGCCTGTAGAAACCAAAAGTGTCAGCTTCCATTGACATCCCTTTAAAAACGAACTGTACAGGTTTCCCGTGAAAAAGGAATTCTTTTTAAATTTTCCACTCTGAAAGATATTTCTTGCAGAAGGATTAAGCTATATTGGTTGCAGTTCTTAAAAACTAGTAACCCCGTCGTCGTTATGCTACACCTGGTAAGAATTGGACTCAAGTTTCTTCTTTTTCGTGAAGATGAGGGCAACTCGAAATGAGCTCCCGTTATGAGAAAGAAAAATTATTAACAGCTTGGCGGAAGTTTATGCTAGCGATCATTCCGTGAGATAACGTTTAATTTACTCGACAATTCTCTTTTACTCACAGTCCATTCTGAATTTTTTTGTCTTATTTCAATTTAATCCAGTAGGTGTGAAATAGCTGGTGATGAGAGCACTCGAGCTGAGGTATACATGGTTTTATATAGCAGCTATCCGGCCTGAGTTTGTTAAGTATCTGAACGATAAACGAGTGTTTTCCTGTAAGTAAACAGAAAAACAAAGATGGCGATTTTTGGTGTGTTGTTTGAGTTCGTTCGGTGAGACCCCCTTCCCAAAATAGAAATTAATAAACGGCCCTTTCAACCTGAAAACGATATCACAAAATTAGGCTGCAAAGGTGGTGTCATCTCCAAAATCAATTCTGAAAACTCCTTTACAGACACCTGTGCAAGAATTACTTTTCAGCAAGGTCTTTCTTCCCTGGAAAATGCACAAAATGTCTACAAGATGTAATTTTATGTATTGAATTAGGTTAGCAAGGAGCACGCTAAAAAAATTAAACCGTGGTGACGAAAATGGACCAAAATACGTTACTATACATTCCTAGCAAGGAAAGGAGACACCGATATATTTTTGCATTCATTATGAAATTGTACACGTTTTACCATAACTGAGTTCTTAAGATGAAAGAATTTACAGACTTCACTTTTGGATAATTTATATTTGCAAAGCAGAGGTTTCAATTAAAAAATTACGATCGAAGCAAAATTTGGTTACGACAAAATTTTCTGTTTTAGATCTTATAACTGTGAAACCTTTTGAAAATGGAAACGCAGCTTCATATTGGGATGGTAAATTTTTAAAAACATATTTGGCTGGCCTCACAGCTATAATCGAACTCAACAGAAAAAGTGTGAGTTCAAAGAATAGGAAATTAATTCATCAGAATATATAAACATTTTTCTCAAACGATTCCAGAATTCCGTGGAGCTTTTCAGAAACAATTAGCGACAAGCGAGAAACTGTATTTAAAAAAAGAATTTTATTAAGATTATGAGGGGGTTATTATGGCACTCAATTATTTATAATTCTTGACGGACCGGGCAGTAAATCTTGCGAATTATTTATAATGTAGACACTCATTTCCCTTCCTACAATCAAAAACCATTTTAATTCCCAACGTTGAAGTCACTAAACGAATAATCAAGTAGTTAAATGAATATATAAATGAATGAATGATTTAAATAAATTTACTTTTTTGTTTGAGGCGATTTAAACGCTGTTGTGATCAGATACTGCATGAAATTTGTAAATGTGAGTTTTATCAACTGAATACTTGAAAAAAATTGTGCTACGCAGAGAATTTCGAGAACAATGTCGCTATGAGAAGCATTGCGTGGGAAAGAGGTAATAAACGAAGATATTCTCAGCATGTCAACAGAAATTACAGGCTTCTAGATCCTGAGTTGTGATTTTAATATTAGAAGCGATCGCTAACTGCGAAGGAAATTACTTTCGGTAGCCTGTTAATCCTTTTGCAGAGGTAAAGTATTTTTCCCATTTCTTTATTACCGGTACTGTCGTTCAGTATAAATTGACGGTGTTTATAGTTTGTGACCTTACAGTTTTCAGGACAGTTAGCCAAAGGAAAGAGATTATAAACTGTTTATAATCTCTTTCCAAAGACAATAGTGACAAAAATGAAATCCTGGCTTATCCAATATATATTGGCAATATTTACAAGTACGAAAGCCTTTGGCAAAACCTAGTTAGTTCTGATATTTCAGTGCGGAACAAGTTTAAGTTGCCAAGTCGTATGTTTCTTTTGTGCTAAATCTTGCCTGTAAAACTGGCCCTCAGCAGATAAATCGCACATACTTCTGAGTTGTATTACTTCCATTTACGAGATCTGAAAACTGAAAGTAAAATGTGTGGGGCGATAGGTATATTATCAAATCAAACTGTATTTAAAAGCCAGATCATAGATGTAGTCGTTAATTACCGCAAGGTTAAAAACAATATTTTCAAGAAACTTCATCAAGCCCCGTTTTTCTTTAGACAGTATCACCTTAGCTCATGTACAGTACAAATACCCTTAAAGCCAGCTCTTATTTGCCTCTTAAGAGCGCTTTGACCGTAACTTTAAAATCTTTATAACTTGTGTGACAATTTTCCTGTGTGGTGACCTGACGGCTAATCAATTGGAACTTTACTCAAAGCTGCCTATTAAAATCAATATTTATTTGCAGAAGGTTAACATTTATTTCGGCGACATGATTGAAAATTGCACCAAGAAAAAAAAGACATTTTTTCTCAAGATTGATTTGTAAAACGAAAAATTGTAAACAGTCTCAGGACTTTCTAGATTGTTATGTTTAAGGGGGAAATTTATTATAAGAAAAACCTTCAAGGTTTCTTAGTCGTTTTAGAACACTTTTCGGTCAAAGCTCAAAAATAGATATCGAAATTTAAAGAACAGCTTTTTATTTAAGTTGCATCGGAAGTTCACCATTTCAAAATATGTTAGATTGTTATACCTGAGCGAAATTGTACCAATCTGGTGGAAATCTGACCGAAACTGAAGGGTGATTGTTGTATTTCAACAAAGTGATGAACATCCAAGACCCGTGCCTGAATTTTTGAGACTAAAATGAGCAGTTTTAGAATATTCTTCCTTCTCAATACCGTCTCTTTACCTGATTGTTGTGTTTGTTGCGTTATATTAGTTTCTCCTTCGCACACAGCCTGATTTTATTTTCTTACAACGACAGCTTTAAGTTGCCTTAGATCTCAAGTTTCGGCTAATTAACAGGACAGATCCTAAACTTCTGATGGCCATAATGACGTACGTTGTCATCGTTGGCCAATTGGCCGCATCAGCAAGAGTGGGTTTGCAGATTTTCATTGATACATTCATAACAAGTGATTAAAAGCCGACTGTGCCAGACCTCAAAGTAACGAGGGTTAACTTGATAGACAAGGATCAAATCTTTCTATCGCGACGAGAGTATACGTTTTCGTCGAGGAAATTATTATCAAGCGACACGAATTGGCGATTAGCTAGCTTACATACCCTATCAAGTGTGTCTGAGTTAAGTTTTAAATTTTGGCTATAATTAAATGGAAAAAGTGTGTGGGCCAATAACATTCGTTTTTGCAATTGGACGATCCAATGACGCAGTCAACACGAACAGTATAAAAATAACTGAATGACCATTCGGAATTTTTATCAATAATCCAATCTTCCTGAAGAGCGAACATTCATGTTTATCACGATTGATGACAAAATGACCACGTTGTTAAGTTGAAAGGGTTATTGAAAGGGTCCGCCGTAGGAAAATATGTAACACTGCTCGTTGCTCTTATATTCATCTTTCTCTCTATATTGTTTTCAAGCACGCCCTTTCGTCAACAGTCTTGCAAATTGGTGTAAAGTACTTTATTACGAATCCGAATCTGAATTTCAATGTTTGTTGACATGAATGTACCATCTGGACCGTCTAGAAGTGGGATCTTTAATTAAAGCTCAGATGATTTTTGTTTTTGCTTTTTTTTTTTTTGGTATAAACACAAAAGAAATTGAAATTGTAAAATCAGGCAAATAAGCTGTTCATATTCAATTGGTTAGGGTAGAGTAGAATTGGTGTCTTACAAGAACTGCGGTTAAATTCCTGCCTTGGTGCTTTGAATCATATAACGACCGCAAAAAAAGGACTCCCGCTAGAAATACAACAGGTACACTCGGCATGAAAATTGGTTACCTCCTGATTTTTCTTCGTATTCTGTTTTGTTGGCTTTGATGTTTTCCGCGAAGAATAACACTCTAAGAATGAACTTTTGATAAGAAAATGAAGAGGATATGGGTAGATTACCGAAGTTGTTACGACATTAGACTTTTAAAAGAAGAGTTTAAAATGATTGCTCCATTGAGGCCAAGGCGATAATTAAGATGTATTTCAACCAGATTTCTGATATGATATTTTGAAACTTGGAATCTCGTGGAACGAGAGTGAATTATTTATGTAATTTTATTAAATTAGGTAAGAAATATCTTTCAAGGACAGTATCTGAGCTAAAGCAATTTCTGGTCTGAGTCTCCAATGTTCCTTTCAACCTCACTTTTCCTTTTTTTTTTTCTCCCCAAGAATTCAATCATAAAATACCTAGACGATTTTACATTAAATTGGTATTGTGTGCTTAAACCAAAGCAAAGTGTTGATTTGTCTACAAACACAAACGTGCAAATCTTCCTTTACATCAATAATTTATTACTTTAATTGTACCTCAGAGAACTCGTTTTCGCATTGGCCTTGGTGTTTTTATTTACCTCACATATGACAGTATTTTGGTAATTGTGATTTCCTAACAATTAAAGCATTAGAAGCCCCTCGAATCTTTTTACAAACGCTACGATTTGTCAACCTCCAAATCATTTTTGTTCATATTCTAGCTCACAATGGCAATCGATAGAAAACTTTCCCTGGTGGCTTTTTTGTGTGGATTACTCTGCATCGCTGGAGCCAGGTAAGTTATTCGGTTTATTTTTCAAAGAATACGCTACAGCAGTCTGTCAGACTTTGGCGTTCCATGTTAAGTCACAGTCGCAAAACCAAGAGGATTTCTCATAAACGAAACTCATGGCTTGGTGTTGAAAAAAGGGATTCTTTGTGGAAAAATATGTTTTTCAAGTCTCATTGCTCGTGTACGGCCAAGGTGAACACGGAAGGTTCGGTGGTGATACACCAAACAGGGTTTTCTTATTCATGGCCCGATTTTTCTTGTTTCATTTACTTTATCGATAAAGCCAGGGTACTTACTCTTTGCCTTTAATTTGGTTAAAATTTTGAACTTCTAGCTCAGTTCTTTGGTCTGACGTAAACTTTAAATGGTACTGAGTGAGAAGTAATTTGGTGTCCCTTATTTGAATCTAGTATGGTGACCTGTTATTACAAGGAGGCAACCGCTATACGACCCTCGCACCAATCGGGAATATAACGCATTTATTTTCCGCTTGATTTGCGAAGTACAAAATTTTCAAGCACCTGCCTTTTATACCCTATTGTGCCAGAATCGAATCCAACGGCAGAATATGCGAAGTGGTTGCATCAAAAAAAAGTCCTTAGTTAATCGACTGTAGCAGTATATCGTTCTCGGTGATTACGTTAAGGCTCACAAAGAAACACATCTAAAGTAGTTGCTCAGCCAGCAATCGCTTTTGATATTCATACAATAATATTTTCATAACCACTGAATTCACTTAAATTTTCACTTCTCATATCCCTGTATCCTCAGTTTGGTCAGAATTTCAACTTTCACTAGTCATTGCTCTAAAGACGCAATGAATGATTATTCACGATGACAATTTCCCATTAGAATTTGTACCAAGTCAGGCTGCGAGTCTGTGAAGAATGGAGACACACAGACCTAGCAATGAAACAGGACGGGCAAGTGCATAGGCATGATATGACACACAGAACAGTGTGTAAATTGTTTGTTTTTATCAGCCATTGAGGTCATCTGTGAACTAAAGCTGAGTAGACAGACAGAACTCCATTTGCCTAATTGACAATAGAGAACTGCGGTTGCTGTGGAAATTGTTCAAAAATCGTAAAATCTTCTGATATTACTTTTCTTAAACGGCAGTTCAAGAAACAAGACCGTGTCTGAAATTCTTGACAAACTCTTAATGAAGGGAAACTACGACTCCAGGTTAAGACCCCATTATAACGGTAAGCTTCTTTGATGGCCTTCCTATTCTCATTTCGTAGATAGATATTCTGTTTATTTAAAAAAAGCAATAAATCAAAATTTACCACTTAAATCAATTAGAATCCTTCCTTGTGTAAAGAGCCAGCCATGTTACTGGATCAAATTGATAGTTTAATTGTTTCACTGAATAATTTATTGACAGGTGGGCCTGTGGATGTCACTGTAGGCTTCTGGGTTCTGTCAATTGATGCAATTAATGTGATGGATATGGTAAGTTATCATCCGTAAATAAGTACTCTTATCGTCTCATGTAGTGGTTGACAGCCATCCGGTTCATAATCTTGGCCAATCAACGTTTGATTGAAGGAGATGTTTGAATACATGGATTGTACAAGGAAAGTTCTGAGAGATGTACGAAAGATTCATTCTTGATCTTCGACAATTAACGATGTATGAGTAGCAAACCTGTATGAGCTTCATCAAAGTTTATTGCTCCTGGCCTCACTAACTTATAAAAACATTGTCTTTATTTATCACTAATAAGCAGTTACGAAATTCGTTTAGACAAAGAGAAATGAAAGCGTTCTTTGGCTTTTTCTATCTAAACAGGACTTTTCGCTAGACATCTTTTTGCGTCAAGCGTGGCAAGACGAGCGACTTGATCACGGCCTCAGTCAGACCATGTTTCTAAGCAACTTTGTGATGGATCGCATCTGGATGCCAGACTCGTATTTTGTGAACGCTAAGCAAGGCTCTTTCCATAAAGTCACCACAGACAACGTAATGATCATGATCAAACCAGGAGGGATGGTTTACTACAACGCCAGGTAACAGAGGGGAGTACTTGATTATCACATAGTGGCCAAGCTAAAAGGATGGTCAAAGTAATGACCTAAATACGAAATGATTTTATGTTTGTATTGCGGATGAGAGGGGTGGGGGGAGGGGGGGGACCTGAGTAAGGATCGGGACTCCAGCTGAGCTGATCTTGCAGTAAAATGAATAAAGGCTGATAGTTTCGAAAGAAACTGTTTGGGGCTGCGTCGGTGGGGGTAACGAAATAATTTGGATATATCAACAAAGTTGAAATGGTAAATTGGCCACCGTAACGATTACAAAAGCTGACGTTTCGAGCGTTAGCCCTTCGTCGGAGCGAATAGAGGAATTGTGGGTTGTGTGTGCTTTTAAAGGCAGAAAATGGAGCTACGTTATTGGTGGGAACATGGCAACGAGAAAAACA